TTTGCGCGACACCCACCGGCGCGCCCCTGCCGCGCACGCCCCACCCGGTGCCGCTGCGCGCTCCTCCGCCAGGGAGGGAGCTGTCCACAGGGCTTGGCGGAGCCCGCACTGGGCCTCCAAGGGCCCACCCCAGGGTTGACTCCCTCCCTGGTGTGGGAGGGACCAGGCAGGCAGGACTGATGGGCGGTAACTCCGCTAGTCCTAGGAACTGCGTGGTACTCACGCCAAGCCTCTGCGCGGTGCTGCACAGGGCCAAGGGACCGGCACCAGCTCCAGAGATCTCACGGGCAATGGGAAACCATTTCCCCTGCCCACCCAGGAAAGAAAGGGCTGGAGTGAAACTTCCCCAGACTGTCCCTTTAAGCCAGGGGCTCGCAAGAGCTGGCTGCCAAGCCATTTGATCCAGCCCGCAGCCGCCCTGCCATGCCCCCGCCCTCATTACCTCACAGAAACTTCCCCTATTATCACCCCAATGTCATTACCTCACAGACACTAACCTGCCCCCCTCACCCCCACTCCGTTCTAAAATTTGATTTGTCAATTCATGTGTTCATTGTTTTGATTGTATCACTTTGGTAGATAGGGTCGTGTCAATTTTCTTCCACAAATTGATCTGAGGAAGTGGGTCTGGCCCACGAAAGCTCATCACCTAATAAACCACCTTGTTAGTCTTCAAAGTGCAACACAGTTCTGTCTTTTGTTGGGGCAGGGAAGTGCATGGAGTCTCCTCCTCCAGCCAGGGGGCAGGGCACCTAGAGGGACCCCTTCTGCGTGAGGCCCCGCCCTTTCTGGGGCAGAGCTCCCCTTGCAAAAATTATTGCCCACCCCTGCTTTAATCATTGCAGCTCATGACAGACTTCTTAACACATCTGGGCACAATAGGCCATGTTGCTATTGGTGATAAACTGGACAGCCCATTGCAGCAACCCAGAATAGCGAAAGTAGCCCCCCCTATTCCGACGCACATCCCATTGGCCTGTCATGGGAACGCCTAGAGTCTCTCCACATTCGCTCGCTCTCACCTGCTGTTCCCCTTAATTCCCAAAGAGCAGGTAATGTGTTCTGCTGCCTAGAGAGCCTTCCAGCTGCGGCTCCCAAAATGCTGTGCATATAGGGTGACCAGATGTCCCAATTTTATAGGGGCAGTTCCAATGTCTAGGGCTTTGCTTTATAGAAGCATCTATTATTCTTCTGCCATCCAATTTTTCACACTGGCTGTCTGGTCACCTTCTTTGCACGGGTTAAGGAATTTAACAGGAGTTAGAGAAAACATATTATACCTATTTTACAAGTGGGGAACTGAGGCACAGAGAGGGTCTCAGGTTCTACAGCAGAGATGGGAATAGGATATTGGTCTCCTGATTCTTAGACCTGATCTTTAACCACAAAACCACCCTTCTTTACTCCTTTGTCCTACAGCAGGCTGCCCAGGTGCTGGAATGTCCATGAATCTTCATTCAGTTAGTGTATATCCCACATCCTCAAATAATAGTGCAATAAATATATGCAGTGTAATGGACAGTCAGGTGCAGTGGTGAGTGCTGAAGGTGTTCTACTACAGTCCTGATGGTTGTTGATCTGAGACCACCTTCAGCTGCCAAATGGGTACCTGATATATTGGGTCATGGCAGCCAAAGGTAGTCCACATCACTGCTTTGTGCATGGTTGGCTGTGAAATTGACATGCCTTCACTGTTTCAGCCTCAGGAGATCTTTGATTTCAAAAGCTTGGGCAGGAGAATGCAATTACACGGTGTCCCCAGTGAGACTTAGCACTTGTCAAGGTCTGTCCATTTGCTAGAGTATGTTTTTTCTCCCCGACCCAGATAATAATTGCATGGTGTATATGAGACAGATTGGGCTATGTACTCTTGTATACCATTGTCCCATGGACACTAGACCCTTTAAGGGAAACTGGGGCCAGCCGCACCTGAACCATAATGAATTAACTGCTTTCCAGCCAGAGGGTGTGGGATTGAGGAGGGTCAGCTCAGTGACACATTAATGGATGCCTAGGCCTTATGGAAGGGTGGAAAAACCTCAGGTCGGGAGTGGGGGGTTGAATCAAGGGCAGTCAAAGGCTCCTATGAAAGTCCCTGAGCTAGGGTCTGCAAAAGTCAGCTGAGTGCTCATTCCATGCCAGAGCAAGGCAGGGTGCATGGAACCAGTACTCCGGGGAGCCTTAAAGGTAGCCCAGAAAGTGGCTGGGAAGAGAATTCAGAGGGTGGGCTGAAGAGAAGCCCTTGGAGAACAGAAGAGTCTTTTTTTCCCTGACACTTGTTAGTTGGACTCTTGCTACCACAAAAGGGGTTGTTTGTTCATGTCTGGATAGGTGAGCAGAGCGACACCTTCAGCATAGATCAATGTGTGGAGAACTGAGGAGACCCAGTCTGGGGAAGGAAAGTGAAGCAGTGCCAGGCTTGGTTAATAGGGGATGCTTTTGATGGCTGTGCTCCATAACACCCACTGAACAAAGACTATGTACAATAAGGCTCCTGATACTCCAGATCCTAAGCTCTGCCTTGCTACGTATTTTTTATTTAACTCAATGATTCAGCACAGCACTTGGAATGCAGAAAATTATAGCTCTTCATTTGTTAAATATATTAAAGACATTTTTCATGTCCCAGAGCTATTTTATTTAATTTTGCTGACTCCATCTCTCCTTCATTGCTGACATGTGCCACCAGGCAATCTCCGCTTAGGGAGAAATGGGAAGAGATGTAATGTGTGGCAAAAATAAGTGTTTGGTTTCAAAATTATACATGGTGGAAGCTTATTTGTGCTTTTTAAAAATGCAATATTCTCCTGAAAGCAGCATGTTCGGTTTTTGTTCTGTTGGGCCCAGAGACATTTTTAATAAAGCGATTCATTGCCTGAACTATTGGTCTTGCTATGCAAAATTGAGCTAGTCTTTGCATTATGCATTATAAAAATTGCCAGAAGCTGAGTATGGGCAACAGGGGAGGACTCACTTGATAATTATCTATGTATTCATTCTCTCTGGGGCACCTGGCATGGGACACTGTCAGCAGACAGGATACTGGATTGGATGGACCTTTGGTCTGACCCACTATGGCCGTTCTTATGGTCTTAAGGTATTTTGTCGAAGATGAAAGGTAGGTAAGTATATTTACATATTTTAGGCCTGATCCACCATTCCCTGATGTGATCTCCTAACGACCAAACAAGGAATGGAGGATTAGCATTAGTGGCTATGTTCATGGCAGACACCCACAGGTTAGAAAATATTCCTCCGAGAAGGTTGCAATGTAATGCTGCTTGATTGCTTGGAATGCTAGAGCCTCACACACAACCACCAAAACCAGAGAGACCAAGCAAACTGCTTTCACTCTGATTGCACAGCTTCCCTCAGAGCCCCTTGGGCTGCGAGCCGGACCAGGAAAACCCTTACATGTAAAGTGAGAGCTGGTAGTCTGAGCACAGTTTTAATACACCACCCTATTGCTTCTTGCATTGGGCTGAAGAGGTCTGGTCAGGCCACTGCGCTAAGCACTGTACAAATGTGCAGTCTCCCCACTGAGATGACCAGCTACGTTTTGGCAAAAAGCAATAGGTGGAAGACATAAACCAACGGAGGAGGGAAGGAGGGCTGGAGAAACCTGAGGAGCCAGTTAAACAGTAAGGAGAAGTCTCAACTCACCATCCAGTCCAGCGGTTTTCAAACTTTTAAAATCATGACCCAGTTGAAGAAAATTGTTGATGCCGCGACCCAACACAATTTGACTAGAGTGTGGGCTCTAGGGTGGGGCTGAGGATGAGAGATTTGGGATGCAGAAGGGGCTGTGGCTTTGGGGGAGGGGGTCAGGGCTGGGGCAGGAGGGGCTTACTTTGAGTGGCTCCCGGTCATCAGTGCGGGGGTGGGGGGCCTAAGGCAACTTCCTGCCTATCCTGGCACTGCAGCCCATGCTGCACCCCAGAAGCAGCCAGCAGCAGGTTCCCAGCCAATGGGAGTACAGAGCTAGTGTTCAGGGCAGGGGCAGTTCACGAAGCCCTGTGTGCTCTTTCCCCACCCCAGGAGCTGAGCCTGCTGCAGGCTGCTTCTGGGGCACAGCGCAGTCTGCCATGCCAGGGCAGCAGGGAACTACCTTAGCACCCCCACTGTTCACCTGATCCCCCTGCAGCAATGAGACCTACGGCCTGACTTCTACCACCCCATGACCTGTAGTTTGAAAACCACTGGGCTAGTCATTATGGGGATCATTGTTATTCTCTCTGCAAACCATAAAGAGTAAAATTATGTTTGAAAACCTCACTGAGTTTAAAATAATACACTAATGTCTGATAACTGCAGAGCTAATCCTGCTAGCTGCTGAGTATCCTGTGCAGGTGGAAAGCCACCTCAGTGCGCACAGATGTGCCACCTCTTGCAGTAACTGGCTCATTCATAGCCCAAGTTAACATTTTCAGTGTTTTTCCAAAGATGAATTGGAAGGCTTGTGATTTTTGCAAGCATTGCCCTTTGCTGTAATACTCACCCTGAAAGGGAGGCAGGGTATAACTTTGCATTTGATTCTGCATAGAAAAGATCATGTCCGTTGTATCTAGATGAAAGATTAGAAACATCTGAGAACTAGTAGCAGGCAGCTGAGGCATCCCTAAATTTCACAGAGACTTATGCAAGTGAAACATACAATAGAGCTCTGTCATGTTTTCCCTACCTCCCCTGCTCAGTGGCACATGCACATCAAAGCTGCCCCCACCACTAATCCCCTTGCCTGTGTCCGGAGCTCTACCCAGCAGAGGTGAGAAGAGACATCACAGAAAGAAAATGCAGTTTATGTGATTCAGATTTGTTTTCAGCCAGCAGCGTGAATATGGCGTGACTCCTTTGAAATCAGCAGTGTCACTCAATGGCTCTCAGCCTTCCCAAACAACTGTCCCCCTTTCAGGAGTCAGATTTGCCTTGCCTATCGCAAGCATCACCTCACTTAAAAACAACTTGCTTAAAAATCAGACATCAAAATACAAAGTGCCACCACCACCCTGTTACTGAAAGCATGCTGACTTTCTCCTTTTTACCACATAATAATACATGGATTGCCAGATAAATAGTGTAGAGGTATTTCAAGGTATAATATATGCAGCAATATAAACGAGTCGTATGAAATTTTCATTTGGACTGACCTTGCTAGTGCTTTTTATGTAGCCTGCTGTAAAAGGAAGCAAATATCAGCCTGAGTTGATATATCTGGTGGAAGATCACTGCCTACCCCCAATGACACATGCACCCCTGCCTGACAATCACTGGCAAACTGGTTCTGTGGGCTTGCACTAAAACCGGTGTTACCTCAGGAGTATGGGCAACAAGGGAAATAGAACTGCGAATTAGGGAAAAGTCACCACTGTCTCAGAGTGATGTACAACCCATCTCTACCTCCTTCTTGTTACAACTGGAATAAGCACCTCACATTGTGTATCCCTCCCCAGTGTGGTGCGGATCAGAAGGATGAGACACAAAAGGATTAGGTGCAACCAAGGTCAGTGTATCGAAGGGATTCGATGACAGCGTTTGGGGAAATGGAGTTACAAACTTTGGGCTAATGTAAAGCCCTTGAGGAGGAACACGAGGGACCCCAAACAAGGGATGTCAGCCCCTGGGCCAATCTTCTGCACTAGGACTCAGGATCGATGGTAAGTAAACTTCTCTCTCTCCTTTCGCTAGGGAACAGGTGATGTTCTCCAGAGCAATAGTATGAGCTGCCTGGGGATCCTGCCAGTGCACACGCTGTCCCTAAGGGTGGCTAAAGGCAGAACACAAACGCAGACCCACCCCACACTGCCCCTGAGGGTGGCTAAGGGCAGCAAGTGAACACAGACCCGCCCCGCACTGCCCCTGAAGGTGGCTGAGGGCAGCAAGTGAACACAGACCCGCCCCGCACTGCCCCTGAGGGTGGCTAAGGGCAGCAAGTGAACACAGACCCACCCCATACTGCCCCTGAGGGTGGCTAAGGGCAGTACACGAACACAGACCCGCCCTGCACTGCCCCTGAGGGTGCCTAAGGGCAGCACGTGAACGCAGACCCGTCCCGCACTGCCCCTGAGAGTGGCTAAGGGCAGTACGCGAACACAGACCCGCCCCGCACTGCCCCTGAGGGTGGCTAAAGGCATCACGCGAACATAGACCCGCCCCGCACTGCCCCTGAGGGTGGCTAAGGGCAGTACATGAACGCAGACCCGCCCCGCACTGCTCCTGAGGGTGGCTAAGGGCAGTACATGAACGCAGACCCGCCCCGCACTGCTCCTGAGGGTGGCTAAGGGCAGTACATGAACGCAGACCCGCCCCGCACTGCTCCTGAGGGTGGCTAAGGGCAGTACATGAACGCAGACCCGCCCCGCACTGCTCCTGAGGGTGGCTAAGGGCAGTACATGAACGCAGACCCGCCCCGCACTGCTCCTGAGGGTGGCTAAGGGCAGTACATGAACGCAGACCCGCCCCGCACTGCTCCTGAGGGTGGCTAAGGGCAGTACATGAACGCAGACCCGCCCCGCACTGCTCCTGAGGGTGGCTAAGGGCAGTACATGAACGCAGACCCGCCCCGCACTGCTCCTGAGGGTGGCTAAGGGCAGTACATGAACGCAGACCCGCCCCGCACTGCTCCTGAGGGTGGCTAAGGGCAGTACATGAACGCAGACCCGCCCCGCACTGCTCCTGAGGGTGGCTAAGGGCAGTACATGAACGCAGACCCGCCCCGCACTGCTCCTGAGGGTGGCTAAGGGCAGTACATGAACGCAGACCCGCCCCGCACTGCTCCTGAGGGTGGCTAAGGGCAGTACATGAACGCAGACCCGCCCCGCACTGCTCCTGAGGGTGGCTAAGGGCAGTACATGAACGCAGACCCGCCCCGCACTGCTCCTGAGGGTGGCTAAGGGCAGTACATGAACGCAGACCCGCCCCGCACTGCTCCTGAGGGTGGCTAAGGGCAGTACATGAACGCAGACCCGCCCCGCACTGCTCCTGAGGGTGGCTAAGGGCAGTACATGAACGCAGACCCGCCCCGCACTGCTCCTGAGGGTGGCTAAGGGCAGTACATGAACGCAGACCCGCCCCGCACTGCTCCTGAGGGTGGCTAAGGGCAGTACATGAACGCAGACCCGCCCCGCACTGCTCCTGAGGGTGGCTAAGGGCAGTACATGAACGCAGACCCGCCCCGCACTGCTCCTGAGGGTGGCTAAGGGCAGTACATGAACGCAGACCCGCCCCGCACTGCTCCTGAGGGTGGCTAAGGGCAGTACATGAACGCAGACCCGCCCCGCACTGCTCCTGAGGGTGGCTAAGGGCAGTACATGAACGCAGACCCGCCCCGCACTGCTCCTGAGGGTGGCTAAGGGCAGTACATGAACGCAGACCCGCCCCGCACTGCTCCTGAGGGTGGCTAAGGGCAGTACATGAACGCAGACCCGCCCCGCACTGCTCCTGAGGGTGGCTAAGGGCAGTACATGAACGCAGACCCGCCCCGCACTGCTCCTGAGGGTGGCTAAGGGCAGTACATGAACGCAGACCCGCCCCGCACTGCTCCTGAGGGTGGCTAAGGGCAGTACATGAACGCAGACCCGCCCCGCACTGCTCCTGAGGGTGGCTAAGGGCAGTACATGAACGCAGACCCGCCCCGCACTGCTCCTGAGGGTGGCTAAGGGCAGTACATGAACGCAGACCCGCCCCGCACTGCTCCTGAGGGTGGCTAAGGGCAGTACATGAACGCAGACCCGCCCCGCACTGCTCCTGAGGGTGGCTAAGGGCAGTACATGAACGCAGACCCGCCCCGCACTGCTCCTGAGGGTGGCTAAGGGCAGTACATGAACGCAGACCCGCCCCGCACTGCTCCTGAGGGTGGCTAAGGGCAGTACATGAACGCAGACCCGCCCCGCACTGCTCCTGAGGGTGGCTAAGGGCAGTACATGAACGCAGACCCGCCCCGCATGGTCACTGGGGTGCACTGCAAGCGCTGCAGCTGCGCAGAGCCTGAGAGAGTTTTTGGCGGGAAAGCTCTGAGGAGATGGAACCCTCAGGATGTTCTCTGGCGGGAAGCACCAGATCGATCCGGTTCGGTCTGGCACAGTCCAGACCCACAGGCCCAATGTGGCTTGTGCAATAACAATGTGGAGTTTATGGCCACAGTCCCTGGACTCCATTTTGATGTCACAAAGGGGTGCTCATGGTATATGGAACCCACAGCAATTCATATTATGAATTCACACCAGAATGAATTTAATCCCAGCACTGGCTACATGCAAAAGGGGTTGAAACAACCGAGCCATGGCGGGTTATGTGGGAATGAGGCAATACACTAAAATATTTGTAAAAGAAGAAATTGAGTGTATCCTGCTGGACTGGGGTGAGTCAAGTCAAACACAGGACTTTGAGTCTGACTGACAGATGCCAGCTGTTATGAATTAACTTATTGAATTAGGCTGATGTTCCAGCAAATGGGAATCTCTGCAAAAAGGCAATGGATGAGGTTTATAAGAACACTTACCTTTGGCTCAACTCTGGCTTCCATGGGTGCAGAATTAGATCTGCTCTGCACAATTCTGAAAATCCAGCCATTGTTTCATGTTTACCTGAAGAAAAAGAGTTATGATCATTTTAAACCTAATTCAAAATATTTGCCACACTTTGAATAAATGTTATTAGCTATCCCAGGGTAAATGCATAGTCACTCCACTCATTTTAAATGACCTATTTCCAGATATGAGAACAGAATTAGGTTCCTTTTGCCTTTCTGGTTTTCAGGAATATTGTTTTGAAAACAATACTTTCTTGCCATTTAAGGTAGTGTATTTTACAGTGAGCATGACACCCAGTGGGGAACCAAATAATCACAGTCTGTTTAAGATTGATCAACAGATGCTTAGCTATAAAATAAAAATAGCAATGCTGCTTCAATATCTCTGGTAATTTACAATCCAATCATGCTAAAAATGTAGATAATCAAACTATATATGTGGATATCTCTTGGGGAAAAAATAAGACATTTCTGAAACCTTGCTCACATATTTCTAAACTGTATGAGCTGTCCAGTAGCTTTCCCATGAAATTGTCTCTTTGTACAACTCTTTTTATTGTGTGCTTGTTTGGGTCTTTTATTTAGATGATAACAGAAATATTAGAAAAGGTCCAAAGAAGAGAAATTTTACAGCAAAACTGATAAGTGTGTAGCCATAAGACATTTGTTTAAATTAATTTGCCTGATTTCACTAATGTGTCAACTTACAGTCATTTTAACATTATAATATGAATCACTCATGTTCCAAAAGCTAACAGAGTTATGGGCACCCTAGAAATATTCTGATAGACAGAGCTAAGGCTGTTCTACACAGGGCTACAGGTTTAGTCTATAGATAGTCTTTGGGTATGTCTTATACTGCACCCTAAACTCAAAATAAGATACGCAATTTGCACTATGCAAATTGCATATCTGATTTTGATTTTATTTTGAAATAGACTATTTGGAAATTTGGCACATCTACGTGGCACCAAATTTTGAAATAAAATGCTATTTCGAGCCATCCCTTAACCCTCGTGCAACAAGGTTTACAGGGA